TTTAATAGATCCTTATCGGCTTGCCCTGGCAGCTCTTCAAAACAACTCCTCCCAAGCTCTTGTACCCTTTCTTCAGCAGGGTGGACAGGAAATTAAGACCGGTGCTCAAATTGCTGTAGATCTCCTCCTCGCTCATCTCGCAGTAGCCTACCGTGAACGACAAATCGTTCGTCTTCCTCAGCTTGAACTTCACCATCTTCACAACCTCATTGTAGAAGTTCTGCAGGTCGTTCGGGTTCCTGATCACGTACACGGCCTTCCTCTTCCTGTTGAAAATTTTTACTTCGAACGCGCTGTTGAAGTTCGGCGATGAGATGAACGAGTGGTACTTCAGGGCAAGCTTCTTCTTCAGGGTCTGCTTCTCCTTGTTTTTGCCCTCCAGCTCCTCGAACGGCTTGTACTCCAAATTGAGCTCCTTAGCCTTCGTCTCCAAAGACTTGTCAGCTACCACAAGGATCCTTTCTGCCCTTCGCTTTGGATACGGAAGCACCACGTTGCCGTCGAACCGCACGTCCTTCTTGTAGTCGTAGCCCTTCAAGGACATCTGCACCTCAATCGTTTCGTTTTTGTTCTTCACGCCTTCCTTTATCGTGTGGATGTGTGTGATGACCTTGTCTTTGTTCAGAAAACTTGAATTAAATAAAAAAACACTTACCTCATCTCGTGGGGTAAAAAAATTGTAAAATTAAAAAGATGGGGTACGCGGTTGCACAGAACGAGGTGGATACATTCACACAGCGATATGCTCTTGGTTCCTTTCAAAATATCATTTTTTCATCACCTCACGGAGCAACGTCATGCTTTTAGTGAAAGAACAAAGGCTCCATGAGCAAGCCGTGCAGCACACCCGATAAGACATGCTTTGCAAAATATTTACGTAACATGCACAAATTGCTATCCTGGCGATGAATGCCGTGCACAGCAATTTGTGCAGCATGAGTATTTCTATGAATGCAATACAAAATCGTTGATATGAAGGGACGTTTTCCACCATTGATGTCATGCCGTACCGTTCTTGTGCTGTGGTGATTGAGTGATCTCTTCGTTCGTGAAAAGACGTACAAAGCACGAATAGATAGAAATGTATTTTGTGCCTTAGCAGCGGAAGAGGTTGTTAGTGTTTCAATACCTGCGGCGCTAATCGTGCTATATTGTTCGCTGCAGGAGATCTACGACCTGGTATACATCGCAGTGCAAGACACATCATTTTGAAAGGCAAGAGTAGGATGTGCCTTCACTCTCTGGCACGATGAGGAACATCTGTTTCCCTCATGGCTATCACAAGCAAAATTATGGGATAAATTGACTTACAATAGCTTTGTGAATGGTAATGAGTCATGCATGTGCCAGGATTGTCCTACTAGTGCTCGATGGCGCTTCGCTATTTCATTGATATGCACTCGACGCAGCGGTAAATTCATTGACGATACTTTCACCGTGGTTCTGACCCGTACACTCAATTGTTCTGTACTTTCAGTCGCTGCTGACCAGTAAATGCTGTTATATTGCCCTCTAACCCGATTGAGACATAGGTTTGTAAACAGCAAATCACAAAAATACGTTCTGAATACCTTGGTGCTATCCATTCATCGGTTCAAATGTAAAATAACGTTTTCAGTAGAGGCTCTATCAATGCATCGGTCCTATTTTTTACTGAAAGTACGTTTATTCATTTCATCGCACACAAAAAACGTTCAAGCAAGCACACTTTTCTGATCCACTGGAAATACTTCGGTCCAACGTAGTTAGTTGTTCGCACGTAGTCTTTTAACACTTCCTTTGCAGACACAGCCGCGTACGATCGGCTATGCATGGCGTGTACACAACGGATGAGCAACGTACTCAAAATGCTTTTTTTAGGGTGGTAATTTACACGAGCCTTCGATCCAAATGTTTAGTGCGCAGCAGAATAGAGCAATTCACCGGTAAAACAGCTGTGGTGCATTCGTTTCATAGAAATTTGTGTTCATTTTAAAATTTTTGCCGTATGAACACCATTTTAGGAGTTTGCCACGATTTGCTATAAATGGTTAACGCGGTTACAAGGAAGGAATCGAATCTGGCCCGCTCTTCTGGTGTAATGTGCGAACAAAGCTGTTTATCAAAAATAGTTCCGTTGGTTTTTCAGGCCTTTATCAATGTTTAGTGCTGTTTTGTGTTCGTATTCGTAATTTACTTGATTTGGAGAAAAAGTTAAAAACAAAAAAAAAGGCATTGGCATGAAAATGCTTGCAATACTATCGCTGTGCAGCTGTACATGCTGGAACGGTAGTTTAGATAAAAAAGAAATTGAAGAAACGGGTGAAACGAACGCTACACGAGGTGATAATAGCTGTAACATAGAAGAGCTAAATAGGATGTATCTCGATGGCATGGACGTAGATGAGCGGTATGATGTGGAAGAACACCTCCCCACAGAAGATATTCCTGTTTTGACTGCTGACGATGTTCTAAACATCGTGCGAATGTCAGAAACAGACATTCAAACTGACGAATTATCTTCTTGTAGCGATGAAACGAGCACCACTAAACATTCTGGTCAAGCATATGAAAGCAATATCTTGGAATTAATTAGTCGATTAGAGCAAGAAAGAGAAGAAGAGCAAATAATGCCGGTGCAACATGCCAATTCGATCGGATCAATCGTTGGCGCTTGTACTGCAGTTTCACAAGCAATGATTACGGCGTGTGTTGGTGAATCACAGAGAAGAGAACAGGATGCATCACTGTTGCTCGATCAGGCTTTGCATCCCGGACAGGTCAACTCACCGTGTTGTGGATCAACCAATTCACCAAACCCTGCACGTTTAACTGGCCTGAGAGGGGGTGAAAAGGCAGATGACAGTTCAATTCTTGCGTTACAGAGAATAACATGCTTTATGAAAAGTGATTTACACTATGGTCAGAGCCTCTCATCATTACTAAATGCTTGCATATCACCAAATGCTGTACCAGATGGAGAACAACCAAATAATGCATACCGGCAACGTTCTAATCAAGAAACACAGGAGTGTACGCGGGCAAAAAGCTTTGACTGGCGTGTCTTCGAACATGCACGCCAAGTTCAAGACATTATGCACGCCCGGCTGGAATGCTTTAACTATCTGTGTAGATTGCTTGATATCATCAAACGGATTACCACACAAGATCATTTCAAGATTTTATTTGAAACAGGACATCTGATAGAAGCGTTATGTGAAAGCTATAACGGATTGAAAAGAGAAGTTTACATTTTTCTGCATTTCTTCCTCAATTTTAATTACAATATCATGATGTTCAATACGCTAATGATTTTTACCTTTGAAAATATGCACAGCGATACCAGCCAAAGACATAAGAATATCATTTTCACATTTAGAAACACCATGTTAGACCTGCGAATAAAGGTGTTGACGATAGCAAATCACATCCTGTCCATAAGGAAAGCCGTCAATGATGGAATGAAAACTTTTCTTGAGAACAATGTTACAAATGGAACTTCAACGAGCGTGCAAATGCCTAAATGGCAACAAACAGAAGGAGTAGCAACAATTGGTAGAAATATTGGTATAAATCGTAGACGTGAGCCCTCCTACAGTGTATTTTTTAAAACTGCGTATAATTCGATACACGAAATGAAAAAAGAAAACGTTCGATTGCTAGATGCAACAATTTATCTTATTCTACTCCTGACATATGATGGTGATCCGAGTACCTGAGCTGAAAATTAAAATTTATGTTGATCAAAATGAGTTGTAACTGACACTTCCTTTAGTTTCGTTATGCATCTTTTAGCATCGATTCTTAGAATTACTTGCTATCAGCGATGGTTTTCTTATGAAACGGACATTTCTTCGTTATGCCAGTTCTCCGGCATTCCCTAATCGCTCAAACTAGTTATTTAGGCCTGAATTTGTGCAACGGAGTCACCGAAAAAATAGCATTTGATTCGAGCTATGACTAGGAATGATCGTTTTATGATTTACGAATTTGATGCAGCCCGTTTTTCTATCAGGAACGGTTTCCTAATTTCGATTAGGGTCAGCAACTGCGGGACCGTGCACATGTTGAAAATGTATGATCCTTATTCTATGCCGGAATAAGCATTATAAACCAAAGGCTAGCACGGGCAGTCAGTCCCAGCAGACCAGAAAGGTGTGTTTGTTGGGACAAGGTGATATGAGAAGATGAAAGACATTACTTTACAGAAATTGACAACGAACAAATTATCCTCCTAGAACAGTAGGCATCGCTGCTAGAAAGAGGGCTAAGCTCAAGTTAACACTGTTGTGGTGTTAACAGCCTTGTCGTAGGTGTATGTGAATCGGTCATTGGGCCAAAACAAATTTGTGTCCGTTCATTAGGTTAGATGATAAAAATGCTCAAGCGGTCAAATGTTCTTCATGACAGAATAAATGTGTTGAATAGCAATATGAATGAGCAGTATGAATGTGTACCAGGATCGTATTCATTTGCCGTATCACTGTGTCGTAAAGTTTTGCACGAAATAGCGTTATGCTAGGTCTCCTTATTATCACCGATGAATTTTTGAGTACGAAGAGGTAATTGATTGGTGGTTAGTTACAATTTTGCAAGACATGTTCTGAGCAAATTTATTTTATCTAGCAGATGAACATTCCTTGTGCTGAGAATACGTAATAAATGCGAATGTGAGAAGAAAGCTGCCATAAAATTTGCGCTTTTGGACTGTATAGATGGTAATTCATGACAACCTTAGTTAGCTTTCCATGTGATTTGTTTTAATACTGGATCTGTCGCCTGATTTTGCTCTAATCACTTTCTCGTGTTGTAGTGCCGAGGAGGTCTGCAGTAATTACTGACCAATAACCGTATTTTGTACACCGCTAGTAGAAAAGCGGTGCATGTCACAGGGAGAATAAGTCAACCAATGATTTTTTCTTTTATCTCCTTTAAGGCGCATGATAAATATTTTGTTTTTTTAATGTTTCAACGATTTATTAAAACGTACTAATCAACTTCCGAATTGTTTGTGTAACTATTTGAATGGTACATCGCTAATATACTACATAGAGTAACTTTACACGAAAAAGAGGGTGTGAGCGTGGAATAGGAGTCCGAGAAACGATTTATCTGGCACATAGCCAGTTCAAGATATGTGTTGAAACCCTACATGGCTTTCGTTTTTATAGGCACCCCGAATTATTCATTATCATTGCTTTGCCATATATTACTTGCAAAAATCCTGTCTAAAGAATGCAATGGCTACTAAAAATGATTTGTAAGTACGGAAAAGGTAACTGTCCGAACTGAGATGACTTTTATAATAAAAAGGAAAATAATATGTATGGTATGAATCTTGAATGGCGAAATATCGACATAAGCGTACTAAATCATAACAAAAGATACAAGCAAAAGAGGATCAAGCTGGTGTCTGACGCCTGTGGACGTGCTGAGAAGGGATTGCTAGCGATCATGGGGCCGAGCGGAAGCGGCAAGACAACGCTAATAAAAGCACTGGCCGGGAGATTAGCAAAGGGTTCATCATCAACGGGCATAGTAACGCTAGACGGCGTCGAAAGAGACGTCGCAACGTGGGTCGATATCGTTGGATACGTTGATCAGGATGACGCAATCTATGAGCAGCTGACAGCTCGTCAAACAGTTACATATGCCGCGAAATTTAGATTAAAGGACAGGCTCATAAACATAAGCGAAAAAGTGGAGAGTTTGTTCAAGAAGCTTGCCATCACGCACGTTTTGGACTGCCAAATGTGTAATCTGTCGGGCGGTGAGCGAAAAAGGGTGATGATTGCTGTTGAGCTGGTGACAGACCCGAAAATAATATTTCTTGACGAACCAACAAGCGGACTGGACAACAATACAACAGTTAAAATCATTAAACTGCTCAAAGAGCTGTCTAAAGAAGGAAGAACGATTCTGTTTACCATACACCAGCCGGATGACATAACAGCTGCCGAGTTCGACGAAATTCTGCTACTATCACAGGGACGGTCGGTGTACATGGGAAAGATGGTCGATTGCGAACAGCACCTGATATCGCAAGGATTCGAAAAACATCCGAGAGAGACATTCTCTAATTTTGCCATGAAGGTACTGAACGTCGAGCCAGGCGTATATCATGAGACAGAGGAGTCGGGCAAGCTCGATATGCTGGTAGAAGAGGTCAAACAGCGATTCAACTTCTCGGCAGATCAAAAATCCGTTAAAAAATCAAACGATGGGTACGTCAACTTTACGCCCAGCCTCTACCACACCATGGTGTTGTTCAGTCGAAGGTGCAAACTCGATCTTTTTTCAAAAAAAAACATAATTTCGACTTTAATAGTAGTTCTTATGATAGGATCGAATTTTGTTATCATGAAGTATTTGATAAATGGCCTGCAAAAAAGAAAAAATGACATGATAAATGAACTGGGAAATCGTTATTCAGAAGATAAGTACGCTAAGTTAGTTGATTGTGCCATAAATAATGGAGCAATCACTATTTCTTCGGGTTTAATTTCATTTCAAATGTCATTAATTCCAATAATGACTGGCATGGCGTTCAATTCGGAGTACAAAATGGTGAAAAGGGAAATCGCGGTCAACACATACTCCGTTGTATCGTACTATTTTTCTGTGCTGATACTTGAATATCTTAGATGTCTGCCGTTCTTTACCATTTTTATGGCGGGATCCAAGATAATACTCGGAAGTGCGCTATCCCTTACAATGATTCTCACCTATTTTCTCATGTTTTCTACCGTAATTGTGGCGTATCTCTTTTACGGCTCGGTGTTACAGGGCACGAAAAGAGTGATTTTGATTTACGGACTATTTATCGTGTTCAATACCGACAGTTTGTGTCATGCCGTAGCATTTATGAGAAAAAAAAAGAGCATAAGCAAAATGTTCATAATTACTTATTTGCTTAATCTGTGTCCAAATTACGTGTTGGGTGCTTGTCCTGCAATACACAGCCTCACAAAGCTGGTACGTGATTATTCGGACTTGTATGACTTGAATGGGAAAAAAATAATCGATCGTTGGATCATTTCTAATTGCGAGGAGCATCTTAAAATACTTAAAAGTCTACTCATAAATTATGAGATCCCGGTAATATGCAACTACTTGCTATGCGTGTTATTGATAGCTCTGTATATGCTGTTGTGCATAATGATGCTATCGTTCCATCTACGGGCCGGTTATCGCATAAAGCTCAACGAAAGATAAATGTTGTTTCTCTTCAAGGATTTGTTCGTTTTAATGACGGAGATTTCACTTTTTAGACGTGTCAAGGCACGCGGTAGCAGGGTTTTGTTCCAATGTGGTATCAGTCACATCTGCTCATTACGACGTATCACAGCTCAGGAGCGATAGATCTCCTTTTCCATGTTGCATACGACAATGTCAATTAAAGCGGTTGGGTGAGCCTGATAGATAGTCTGATAATGTGGCTGCGCCGTTTTTTGGGCCTTTTATGAACTACAGGAGCACAGCCTTCCTGTGTTGTATGATGCAAATGTGCGATATGATAAGGGAGAGGTACCAACTTCTTATGACAGGTGTTAGATGGCACATAGAGCGGAGATGTCATGCCTTGGATACGTCGCAAATCGGTCAGGAATAATGATCAAAAGTAAATAAAGGCGACCAAAGCCTTCTTGCAATATCGATAAAAACACAGGGTTGCAAAAAAGACTTACCACGAATGTTCACGTGGTAAGTCTTTTCGAACATAGTCGAAGAAATAGACATATACACGAACATGTTAAAATAAAACTATTGTAGAAAAGGTAAAAAGATTACATTCTGGTTTTAAGTTGCCAAACGAACATATTTACACATTTGGCAACTTTTAGTGGAAAAGATGGATAATCAGAAAATAATCAAGCTAACTACTAGTAAATAGTACAATTATTCTAAGATACGCATCTTTAATTGATAGCTTTAGAGTTTATATTCATTGTATCAAGTGTATGAGCAAAATAATCCTTCTAAAATGTAAGGCTTTCCAGCTGATAGCGTAAATTTTCAAAAGACAACATTTCTACGTTACACAGATGTAGATTAAACAGCTCTACGTCATTTGATGGCGTAGTTGCACGTTAAAATGTTGTTTCAAGACCGGAGAAATGATTGAATCCAAAAACGTAACAATTAGCAAGAAATACAAATTAACTCAGAATAGTAAAGTGGAATTGACGATGCATCTGAATCATATGACTTCATCAAGCGTACTGTTTTGTTTCTTTGTACACGGTAAAATTGAACGATAGTGCATTAATTCAGTAGAAGGTTTGGTAAAAGAGAAAGTAATGAATTAGATCAAAACATGTTGGTTTTACGAATGGTAGTTGTTCGGGACCTGTAGAAGTAAAATACTGTGCCTGAAACACTATAACAGTGTACTAGAACGTTAAGAGTGAACGAGAACAGCGGAGCTTAAAATTAGAATCATTTGGCGAAGATTAATGTTCTGAAGTTGACATCGATTAGGATTGTGGTTGTGCGTCCACATAACCTCAATTCATTGGCATATTATCCGCCTTTTTAACAATTCGAAAAATTGTAAATAAGTCTTTTTCCAGATATAATATGCCTTTTACAGCGAATTGAGAGTGCCAGAACCAAGAAAAGATCATATCGATTATTGATAAAATGAAATTTCTGGTTAGAGACAGATGAAAATGATAGGAACAAGCGATGAGGTAAATGATTTTTAAAATGCTATACAAATGACTTGTGCGGCAAGATATTATCTTATCAGGTATTGAGACACTGTTCACGATAAACGATGTGAGAACACCAATGATGCAGGTAGTCAGTAATTTTCCAAAGAGATGATCGCAAATATGGACAGTGAAGAGTAAATTAAAAAAATAGAGAAAATGTTGTCAATAAAAACATGCGGAAATGAGCAGGTTAGCAGATAAAACGAGAGTCATCATTTTCAAAGGCCCATGTATACATTTTGCTGTTGATTATTCGGTATTAATCTTGGACGCTTTTACCATAATGGAAACCTACACTTTAATCAGTTCAAAAAGACTAATATATATATGTATTTATGTGCAGACTATCGAAAAAATACTTGTTCAGACTCTCTGCCACGAAGATAGGGGAGGAAAATCAGGCATTTTGTAATATTATGAACAACTATAAATTAGCCACAAAACGAACATTTGGTAAAATAGTAGCAAATGGTCAATTAATTGCCATAATTTTCCCTTTAAAGTTCCTATTTAATTATTTGGATATTTTTTAAACTATAAAAGAAAGAGCTTTCATGAAAACTATGATTGTTTCGTTCATCGTTTATCTTCTACAATTGTATGCAACCGACACAGGGAGTACTAGTACTGTAACAGATACCAGTGACGACTTCATAATCAGACAATATATGGAGTTAGAGTATATGGATGGGGATTATGTGAAAACGCTACCAGTGGATGAATCATTTTTCGAGCGATATAGCGATGTAGACCTGTGTAAAGAGGTGCACAAGAGCTTTTGTAGACATCAAAAAGTAGGCGAACTGTGTTCGAGGTACATAAAGACCTTCTTACAGGAGGGAAATATTCTCGAAAAGGAACTAAGTCATGTTCCTGAGATAATTGGAGCAAAACAAGGGACTGAAGAGATGGAGACAAGACGAGAGTATTGAGTTGTAAAGCGTGTGAGAGGAAATGATGGAACCAAATATGTCATAGTAGGTGAAATGCCAGCGATTGTTAAAGTGATTCAATAAATTGCTTCTGCATCGTTGCAATGTATGGTGGTTCGAAAAAAGGCTGTCAATTCAAATGAAGTAAATTATTTGTCTTTTTGGAACAATTTTAATTTATGTCATGATCTTTTACCTGCTCAGAGATGTTCGTCAGATATTTTTTACCAATAGCATGTAGAATGACATAATTACCACCTGTAAATGAAGTAGGAGACTCTGCCGAAAGTAAAAACAAAAACAGTAATTGCAAGCTGAGCAAAATAACACCCTGGAAGGACAAGTAATTAATTATGGAGAATCAGGTTTTCATTCTGTTTAGTAAACGTGAATAACGATTCTAGTCTTGGAAACGAAATGGAATACGAATATAAACATTAATACATCTGAATACGAAAGGGTAGACAGAAGAATTCAAATAGTGAGTCTAGAAAATTCGGAAAACGGTAAAAATGGTGATATGCTGAAAATGAAGCGGATAGAAAACAATGAAAAGATTTCCTGAATGTATAAAGTAGGTGTCACTTATGCCAGTTTATGGAACTGTTACGAATTTTTTAGGAAAAATGGTGCACCACCGGACCGAAAAGTATGTTTGATAGGTGATATTTTCTATGTAGAAATAAATAAATTATTTTGATGATAATGGCGCACAATACTATTGTTAGCTCAGATGACGAAAGTGATGGTTGATATAGGTATATATGAGTGGAAGTAGGTGGGAGGTGTATGGATAGCTGCTGAAATAAAGGGTGCGTGAGGGTATCGAAATGAAAACATGGCAAACTGGTTTAGGTTGACATAAGACAGTCATGCTTTATTAAAGTTATTTACGGAAATGTGTTGATTGCTATTGATAATAGCCTTAGTCGATTAAATTCTAAGATCAATTACATCCCCAATTTTTTGGACTGGTAAAACAGAGAGGTCTGTGGATATTCTTTCCTATCACAGGCGAACAAAAACTTTTGCACTAATATTGCCATGTTTGTTTATGATGCAATCTTTGGATGTATCTGGACAAAATATTAAACCCGTTTGTAAAAGAAAATACGGATATAGAATAAATTATACACATAATCACGTTTTACATGGTGTTTTGTTCACCTATACTGATAAATAGACGAACTTATTTGAACATGAAGCGTTCGTGAAATATAGCTGCCGTTGATAGTGCGAGATGCATGATCTATCCTCTGGCAGAATACTAGATGGCCATGTACATTGAAGTAGCATTATTGGTTAAGAATAAACGCAATTTACATGGTCGAGACCGAGACAATTGATCCGCTATTTGAATATTTTTTCGTCACGGATGTTCAAGGTAATCATCCGATAGGAACAACGCCAATAGAACAAGCAGACCATGTGTATCCATAAAAAATAGGGTCGTAAACATGTTTAAAGGGATTGCACAAAAACATTTAGCTCAGGGATTTATTCACATGCAGTAAATGGTAAATCATCTCTCCAACCAAAAAGAAAAAACGTTGGAATAGAGTTGAAGCAAAGGAACATGGCAGACTGACAGAATGTTGTCTACCTCTGATACATCTCATTTTCGTTCAACAGAAGCGAATGCTGGATATCCTCCAGAATTTGTTAGCTTCTGCAAGAAAAAATTTTGGACAAGTTCAATGGTGCTGAAATATCTCTAGCATGCGAATCTTTTGGTGCATGATATTTCATATCACGCCATTAAAAATGCAATAGAAAGCTTCTGATCGCTTGTTTTTGTTGTACAGGTTGGCTCTATACCGTAAGAAAATACACATTCATGGGAAAAAACAAGCATAAAGGTGTTTTTTGTGAGATATTTTTCCAGTTCATAACTTTACAAACGCATTCTATGATCAAGCACGCACTACCTTGCACGAATATCCATACATTAGACATCGGAATGGTGTCAGATTTTACCGGGTTGTCAAGCATAAAAGCATTGTAAAGGACAACTACCTGTCTAATGTTGTATAGAAACATAAATCTTATTGTTTTGTTCAAAATATACGTATTAAAGAATGCATCCTTGTTATCGCGGCGCAATGTTGAATCGATCCGTTCTAATGCTGGATAGAAATCAAAAAGATTATGCGTATTAGCACCGAACAACAGTTCAAAGGAAGAGTCGCCAAAGAATACGGCAACAGTGAACAAAATGAAGCAGGGCACATATATATGACCATTGTGTCTCATCAAAAACTTAACTGCCTCACCAATTCTTGACATAACCACGTACAAGCGAAACGTTTTGTTCTGCAGTTACAGCGGTGAAGTGATGATGGTGACCTTCGATACAGAACAAATAGAAGAGGTGAAGGAAGAAGAGAGAGCCGATGTAAATATAGGCAAGGAGCTGCTATCAATTACTGATCAGAGGATGGGTGCAATAATGAAGAGTTGTTCGAAAGACAGTGCAGATGAAAGCAGCGATGTTAAGTGTGATAGCGAATATTTTACAATCAGGAGCGATGTAGAAAGGAAGAGAGGAAGACCGAAGATGTGTCGGAATGTGGAAATGGAGAAGATCGTGTTGGATGAGATGATGATTGGTAAAAGAAAGGTGCTGAGTCAGGATGTTTGTGCTGATTCAAAGACCGGTGTTTCGGATCCGGCCAATAAGAAAACTATGACCGGCGAATAAAGATGATGGGATATCTGGATCTAAAGGTAGTGTGGTGGAGAATAACAGCACGGTAAAAAGCAATCAGCCATCAGTTGGTGCACAACAGGACAAAGCAAAACGTAGAATAACACCTGTTCTGATACCGCAGCTCACAAATTACGAAAATAAGATCGCGAGCGTAAAGAATAGCATTTATGTGCTGTTCACAGGAAATGAGGATCGCAGGGTGGAGAGAGAATGCATCAAACCGGTTTTAATGAGGATGAAGGAAATAACGGTCAAGATTAGCTGTGGTGGCAGTGTAGAACAAATCGGAGGGCGGAAAGTGTGCGGTTGTCATCGTAACCAGAAAGAACGAAATGTAGGAAACACGGACCAAAACATTCCAACAGATGATGGTGATCGAGTCACTCTTGTGAGCGGTAACACCGGGGTGAGAAAGGAAAGGAGCATCTCCTTTAGTTTGTACACCATAGATGTTTCCATCAATGATGTGCTCAGGTACAAGAATGTATGCCTGCTTGCATTCTCTAACGCAGTTCATACAAATGCTCTGATAGTGAAGAGAGTAATCTCAGGGCAATTGCTTTTGCCATTTATCAAGCAGAATGTGCTATACGTGGACATAAGGGGTGATAATCTGCTGCTGTTCATGGGTGATACGTTTAAGATAATAAACCTGAAAGGAGAAAGTTGTTAATGATGTACCGTTTGATACATACAGTCTTTGTTTTGCTAAGGAGTACTTCATAGTAGGAAGCGATCTACAAGGCAACAAGTATTTCTTTATGAAGGAGATCGGTGAGTGGTGTAGGGTTAATCATGAAGAGAGCGATGGGTTTAGAATTGAAAGAGAGAAGGGCACTGAACGTAATGGATTGTTGAATGAGGGTGGGGATGGTGTACTGTGTGATAAGATGGGTGCTGATGATGCAGGAAGCGGTGGAGGTGATGGTGTAGTTCATGATATTATGAGTGATAAAAGCATTGTTCCTGGTACTGCACCTATCAGCAGTACCACTACTGCTAAAGACACAGGCAGTGCTCTGTTTGATAATATGATAATTTCACAACTGTTTGATAATGACGACCTTTCATCCCTGGAACATATCGAGTATAGCATACTTAAGAAGTAATCACCGACCAAAGTGTTGGCCCGTTTGCGATTGTTTGTAAGCAAGTTGAAGAGCATGACAGAGATGATAGAAATACGGCTAGAGAATATTTTTGTGAATCATATAGTGTATAATTAAATATGCTGCTAAACAAGGTCTTAATGAACTTTCGTGCGCTCTGGATATAGTTGGTATTGTTGACAAGACCAACAGACAGAAGAAGGAAGATTTGTCTTGTTGCTCAACAGTGTTGTTTTATCGGTGTAGTTTGTATAATGTGACTGCTAACTTGGTTATACCCGAAGTGTGGATAGAGAGGTTATAAGTTTTATTTTATGAAATTAGCATAAGCAGAGATATGTAGATACGAGTTGGTACTTAATACATTTTATTGTTGTTGTCTTTTATTGTTGTTGTATATTTTATTCATACATATATTTTACTCATATACACATGGGCTTAAATTCACAAACATTTTTAAACCCCGTAATAAAATATGTATGAATAGATCGATGCATAAAATAAAGAATAGGAACAGGGCAAGACGTAACAAAGCATGGAAACGAGTTGAAAATGGTTGATAAATCAAATTTTTGATTATTAGAATAGTAATGAGGAAACAGACATGATATTTTGTGGAGTTAAAGTATTGTATCCTGTTTTGTCAGTCGAGTCTGTGCACAGAAGTATATTTGGTTAAATAAAATATTTTGTGAGCAAGAAAATATATGCAGACAAACACGTATAAATGACTTGTCAATATGAGATGACGAGAATAAGAGAAGTTTACAGAAGTGCATCAGCAAATAAGGATACAAAGATATTTTTTGAGGTGGGCATAACGGGAACGGAAAACAACGTGTTAATGGCAGAAAGAAGAATTTTGGTGCATGATATTGCGGTGATCGGGTTGATATGCATTGGTGTGGGTATATGTATCTTAAAACGATGCGCTTGTTGATCGAACAGAAAAAATACAAAGGAAGCAAGAACATACGAATGAGAGAGCAGGGCAGGAGGACGAACGGAGACGATAATGCTTATTTATTTCAGACATATATTGAGTGGAAGATGGAACAGAAAGATAGGAATAAGGATATAGGAGTGATGAGGACAAAATAAGATGAGATAGACATGAAGAGTGCGATTGATGAGCAAAGACGGATAGCAGAGCAAGACAGGGAAAAGAAGAAAATGAATAAATGATAAATAACAGAGCTTAATAAGAAGCTCAGTACAGATCGGACATGCATGAAAGCGAAGAGGTGTTGGTACATCTGCTGTGTTGTGTTTACACGAGGTCAACATTGTGAT